GACGGAATGAACCGAGCGTGTCTGACTGACTGAAGCTTTTTGCCCTCGGCAGAGTGCGCCGAAATTGGAACATCGGGGTTTCACTTCTCGTGTGGACCTTAAAATGCGGTGTCAGTGTCGACGTCGAAGAGATGACGAGACGACGAATCGACGGGGAGCTTGCATGTACTGACTCCACTATAATACCCGGAAGGTGCGCCCAGGCGGGTTCACCCGCCCGCAGTAAAAGCTCCGTAGGTGCACCACGGCTCGTAAACACTGTACACGCACAGGGGCGTGGTGATGTTGCTTCAATGCTCTCTTCGAGTCAGTAAACTCGAACAAAGTTGATCGCACTGCTCAGTCTGAACGTGTAATCGCGCGGTGAGATACGATCGATCGCGATCGATCCTGTGTATCGAGGATACTCGATCGTCGCTTCCAGTCAGCTGTGTCTCGTCTTGTAGTTCATCATGAGTAGTGTGCATCGTCAAAGGACAAACACGTAACAACGCTTCTTTACACCATAATTGTCTCCACTACCAGCATGAAAACTAACTCACTAGTACATTAGGTCATTGTACATATCCAATACGAGTAGAGAACGCGGTCACCTCGAGATCGAGCCGTCAGCACAGTCCCCTGAACCTGTTTCCCTTGGCTTCAGCTCAGACCGGCTTTGGAGAACCAGTCATTGGAGTTAACCACTCATCTTGAGTAAGCGCTCAACCCTTTAGAGGTACCCCCAAATTCATTCATACCATGGTCTCATGTCGGGTTACTCCATGTGTACCATATGGCATGCTGAGTTCGCTTGTCTATACTATTTCGAGTGCGTGAGGGGCCCGGCATCGCCTGCTTTCTGGCCACAGCCAAGTCACCGAAAGGTTGTGCGTACTGCATCACTGCATCCGCGAACTCTTCACGGGTAGCACAAGCTCTTCCCACGCGAAGAGCCTTGTTGATGTTATATGCTATAGTTTGTATACAGCTGTTACACCTGCATGCATCGGCCCGCAAGATAGAAGTAAGAATACCCCGGTGTGATGTTCTATGCCGGTTGGAATACCGGTTCCGCGCGAGACGTGTTGTGCTGTCGGCATGCCATATTTCCTCGAACGGAGGCTTCTTCATCTGCCAGGTCATCCTTGAATTTCGCACAAACATATTCTTCAGTAACAGTCGATGCATCGCTCTACTAATGCGGTGTCCATGATACCGCTCGATTGACAAGTGCGAGCAAAAAGGAGTTACGCCGTTGTCCGGGTGATACGAAACGTCCACTCGACGATCGTGCCGCTCACTCGTGTCCAGATGTGCCCATGCCTTGGATTTCCAAAGTTGTAACAGCCAGTGTGTTTCGACGATGTGGGGGTACAACGGGGAAGCGGCTAGTGATTGCGAAGCGGGCGGGGAAAGAAGCGTGCTTACAGCGGATAGGGAAAATTTGAGATCGTGTGAACGAGGGTTCAACATGGTCTTCGCCGCAGTATGACTGCACTGTATAGGGAAGTTGACTCCCGCATCCGCGTGCAGTTTCCGTAAACTACAGCATGCAGCAACGAGCCAAATCCAGTTATCTGTATTGGCTGGCGGGCGATATCTGTGTATGAAGATCCGTCCTACCCATGCGAGGCCTGCATGCAGCTGTAGCAGGACTGCTTGCTCGATTCGAGTACTGACTGTTAGTCGGTGAAGTGGATACAGCGAGGTTGTGCTGAATCGTTCATGGTTCGCTTCACACATTCCAACCAATTGGTAATTTGACTGAGAGAGTAAGTGGACGTCCGCAAGCGCTGATACCTCAAGATTTATCCTGCATGTCAAGGCAGGTCCGTATTGGCTTGGGAGACGTTTCCTGTGGTGGAGACGACCGTGCATGGAGCTGCAGTTGACCTTTGCTGGACCTCCATTAGGACGGTACATATTGTTGTCTCTCGGACAGATCTCGAGCAGAATATTGGGGTTGGAAGCATGCGATATTCTTGAGAGAAAGGATTGAGATAGACTGGCCTTCGCTTCTAGCTTGGACCAGATTACGGCAAACTAGCGGGAGATATTGTCAATGCTGATGGCGAATGTTGAGTCAGTCTTTTACCGGGTTCTAGGACCAAGTTCCGGGCTCGTGGAACAGATGCATGAACAGGGTCTACTGCAAATGCAGTTTACATCTATGCAGCCCAGGATAGTTATACAAACTGACGCGAGCTCATGTAACTGCAGCACGACACCCATACCTCTTTGTTACGTATGAGAAGTGTGCATGCTTCTTCCACGCTAATGCAATGTAACAAAGGACTTGTGACGACAAAACTGTATGTGCGCACCGAGCGGAAACCTTTGACAAGGCCTCCAGTGTGGCGAGCAATCTATCGGCTTGAGAGGGCTTGCGCTTTTGTGTGTGACTTCACCGCGACAGGGTATCGTTCTAGTCCATGAGATTACTCAAAGGAAATGGCGGCTAAGGGGCCGTAGGCAAAAGCGTATGGCGACCGCGGTGACGTGGGTTGGTGGCGTATAAAGATTCGTGATATTCTCCTTGGAAGTGCAACCCCCAGATTTCCCCAGATTTTTTCCACGGTCTTCTGGAATTCCGTACACCAAAAGCTTGTTCAAGATCCAGCTGAAATCTGTGTCCACAATCGCCGATTTTGAGTACGAGACAGACACGCACACGTGCTTTGGATGTAAGTTCGCCAGGTTCCACCACGGCCAGCGAGCTGACAATGGCCGTAGTTCCCGAACACAGGATCGGACAGATAGTCATACCATCAGCGCCTGCGAGATGTGCTTCTACGAAAAGATCCAGTTTCCGTGTGGCCATGACGAGTATCGACTCATGCAGCACTGCCATTTCGCACGCAACGATCCCGGCCACCAATGTTTTGGCGCTTGGAACGTTAGAAGAACATGGGATCAACGGGAAACAAACTGCACCAACTGTGTCAGACAGAGCCAGTACGATCCGGCAGTGCATACGTCCCAGTCAGCGTACACCGTCGCCAGCGGAAGATAATTGGTTCTATCGATGCAATGCTAGCAATAGCCACCACCTGGTTTCGACCAATGGCCTTCTGTCGGCTCGAGAAAGCAGGTGCGCCTCTACAAGATAGTGAAGAGTCGGATCGGATATCGAAGGGAGGCTTTCATCATACTTGTCGGGGTTTCGTGATTGTTTGCACGCCTGGGCGGTTGCTCGATTGCTTTTGCGGCGAATCCTAACGCTTGTAATGTCCTGAGTGGAAAGTTTGGGCGCCATCTTCTGTGGCTACGATCTTCACTGTACACTATTAGTATTGTACCTACATATCACCAAATATATGGTAACAGGCATATGGCCTCGTATGAACGGCGAGTGTCTCCAATGGGCAATTGAGACATGGTGCTCGTAATTACTGACGGCTCTCCCGAGAGGCGCATTGATGCCGGTATCGAACCTGCGAATATCATCTTCACGTGTGTAGTGCCTGATCACGGCACGCGTGGCGTCACAGAGTGGTCGGTCGTGGCGTGTGCAATGAGGAAGTTCGTGACGACCTCGGGAAATGACATGAGGCTCGTGCGACTAACCTAGCGCGGTATGGGCGTGGAGCCCCACCTGCCACCAGAGACAGGCCAGCATCGTGACTTCCCATCCGACATTCTGCATCATTTACACCGATATTTAGACCTCCACCATGTCAGACTCTACAGAGCAGCCGAAGAAGGAGAAGTTTGCGCCAAAGCAACCCGTCGCACTGAACCCCCCGAAGGATGATGTCATTGAGCGCGATTACCTTGCAAAGTGTGATGGTACGGCTTCACAACGACTGGCTGGCGTTTCAGTGGCCAGGCACTGACCATCAGCAGGCACAAACGAGGGTTTACCCACTCTTGTCGCAATCAAGGTAACTATAGCTACTTTTCTTCAGCGGTGTTCTCGTGCAAGCGCAGAAGAAGTTGACCATCATCAGGGTGACGTGTTCGACGTGAGCGGCAAGGAGACGTACGCACCTGGGAAGGGCTATCACGGTTTGTCGCCTGAGATGCAGCATCAAGTCGTACCATAAACGACTAACCTATCGTCCTAGTGTTTGCGGGGAAAGAGCCCAACCGTGCCCTCGGCCTGTCTTCTCTCAAGCCTGAAGACTGCATATCGGACTACTCCGGACTTTCCGATAAGGAAAAACAGGTTCTTAATGATTGGCATACATTCTTTAGCAAGCGTTACAACATAGTCGGACGGTTACCTTCTGATGGCGCCAACCTCTAGACGGTCCATGTCTCCAATCGTCGACTAGTACACGCCCTACTATCGGCCCGTGTAATGTAGCAGTTCAAAGCAACTAGGTTCTACCGAGTCAACTGAAAGGCGCTTTGAGTGTCACATGCACTGCACTGAAAATGTGGAGAAGCGAATGGATAAGACCACAAAGCCCAGAAGCAGACCGAATTCATCACATTCAGTCTGTGTCCGAGGAAGTGTACTAATTATGGTCGTACGATGATATCAAATCATTCTCAAGTTCTGAGATGGTAGGCACCGTGTTGAGCATGGTGAAGTACGCTGGCTGATAGTGTGCCTGCTAAGCTGCCCAGATACCCAACAAAACGACACAGCCAGAGATCGTTCTGCCTATGAACCCACCTGACTTCTACCCGTGTCACAACCCCCATTGAGTTATCACGGTATCATCGCTAAGATGGCGACTTCACCATCAAAGCAATTAGAGAGTGAACGACCTCTGCAGCGGCCAATACGGTGGTTTCACCCGGGTTATCGTAAATGGGAGCCACTTCCACTGCGGCGAGTACATTCAGTCAGCTTCTAGTGCTCTTACTAATAAGTCAACGGGGCTCGGAAAACACGTACCAACATCTGCCCCGACGACGTCTAGTCCTTCGAGACCGTCCAGAATAGACAAAAGCTCTCGTGTGCTCCAGCCACCGACTTCGGCTGTTCCCGTAGCTATCCCCATATGTCAGTCACTGTGCAATGAGATATCTGGGTGCTGAAGACAATACTGCTACCTCTAAGACAATCACTTGTGGCATGTTTTGTTTGAGAACTTACCAGGTGCGAATGCCGGATCGAGTACATCTATATCGACACTGATGTAGACCTTCGTTCCAGCGACGCGAGATTTGAGCTTGTCGATGATTCCAGCTACACCCAATCGATCGATTGCCCGAGCCTTGACCATCTCAAAACCACATCGAAGGTCGTTGCGCACATCACCTTTCGGTCGTACCACAGGAGCTCGGATGCCCGCGTGTATACTAGTATTTCGGATCAAGCCTTCCTCATGAGCGATGTGCAAGAATGTTCCATGGTTGACACCACTGTTGTGCTATTTCAGCGATGTCCAGGGTGAACTCTGATAGTTAGACTCACGCATAATGGGAGATACCTCCGCCTGTTCTATGTCAATTTCTGATCGGATCGGTGAACACTTCGGCTTACCTAGTACTTCTGGGTCCCAGGTATCTACGCAGCCGTCAGTGAAGCTCGACAAAACGTGCCGCGAACTTACCGATGTGACTGTCGAAGTGTATTACGCTCACGGGCCCCCAGTGATGATGAGCCGATCGAAGAGCCGATAACGTTGTGGTATGATCGCCACCTAGCGTCACGATCTTTGGTGTCGTGCGCTCGCTAGAGTTGGTCGCTCTTGAGGACACGATCTTGGCGATGGTCGTCAGATATTTGAACCAGTCATTGCGTGCGTTCACCAACCTTGTGCGCCTTATCAAGCTGCTTCAAGGCCGCAGTGTTATCCTTCCAGGTACGTTAGTCGTAGTCTTCCTTGGTCGTTCCTTCAATGTCTCACCAAAAATGTTAAAGGAGCATCGCCGCAGTCGATAACTTTTGCCCAATCTGCGAATACGTTCTCGCCTGAGCCCCGTCAGTCAGTGCGTTGCGAAGTCGCTTTGTCACAATGATTAGTGCTTCTCGATGCAATGTTGGCTTCATGCAGGAGCGAACGGAGCAGCATCATCAAGACAACAAGAAACTGCAACCAGGATTAGGGTACACGGGACAAATTCTAGCGCACGAATGTACGCCTTGAGAACACAACTTGCCAAGATGACGTGGTGTAACAAGTTCCGCTCGTTGCAATGTTTTGAACAACGCTCTAAGTCCGTGCTTGCGGGATGAACGCCCATACGCGCACCCTCATCAAAATACGACATACCTGTGTATATTGACCAAGCAGCGTCTGGCGATATCCGACTCGAGCCCTGCCGGATGCCACTCGGGCCGAAGCGCGCTCCAGGCCGTGCCGTAACGCCCTGCCCGTTGTTAACCTTGGCTGTTGCGATGCGCCCGACTCCGATGCGGAGTCTCGCGCACACAATGTACATGACCTACAGTGTCAAACGGCGCACCAAGAATTGCGATGTCGAATGGCTCCACATCCTGGCCTTCTGCTGCTAAACAGTGCACATATGGTAAATTGGCGTATGTCATCAGCCCTGCAAACTTTGCTTGGGTGATGTCCATTTCGAGGTTGCCATGAGCAATAATCTGCTGCGACGAATGGCCAGAAATCGGTGGAAAGGTAACATCGCGAGCGCTTGCGAAGAGCTCAAGAGAATATGCCAGAAACAACAATGATTTAGGCGCCATCATGAACATGAACGGAAGAGATCGAAGTATATGAGAAAAGCGAGCAAAGCTACTTCAATTAACAATATACCTAAGTAACGTGCTTATCTCCTTTGCGAGCCGGTGGTGATGCCCGCGACCAGTCGCATTAAGCCCTGAATGGCAGGTACAGCCGATCGTGCCCCTCCATTCGCCTGCAACGGTTGTCAGTCTGTTACTACTTCCAGAACTTGCCGACGGCGCGTAACATCTTGCACAACAGACTCTTCTTGTATACAGAAGTATTTCAAAGACGTTCAGTCTGTCTTCGTTTTCAGAGCTATCTGTAAGACCAATGGACATGATATCAACGTGTACTGATTCTGACCTCGGCACGTCTATGGAGGACACATCGAGACAGCGACTAGCTAATCATAGCTGTAACTTCACATTCGTATAATAGTTCCTTCTTCGCCAAACTTGCAACACCGACAACCGTGTCAGGCGGTCTATGCCCATCCGCCTCCCTATCCATATATTCGATCCAAATATCTCCCCAACCACGATCTACAACATCCTTCCGATCCTGCTCTGGGTTGCCGGTCTCCTTGACGATGTAATGTCGAACATGCACCTGATTACATCAAAGTTAGTGAAATGGCCAACACCGCCTCAAAACTACTCAATCAAGGTTCAAAGCGTACAATGTCTCGCGGTGTGGCTCCAGCTGCCGCCAAGCACTTGCGAATGCTATCATAAGCGCCCTTGGCTTGCTCTTTGATGTCGGATGGGATGGTATGGTCTTTTCGAAGGCCCGTTTGACCAGCAAGGGTGATCAACTTGGACGACGGCACTATTGGAGTGATGCAGACTTGGTCGTACGTTGGTGGAGGTTCCGGTACATTTTCCGGGTTGAAAGTATGGGGCTTGAAATCAGCCATGACTGCATTCAAGACAATTAAAACAGTGTCAATTGTTGGTGTTTTCTATATGTTTTAAGCTCGAGCCTTACGATAGTATCTCGGCATGAGGGGCATTGTCGTGTGCACTTGCCGCGCCCAGTAGTCAAACATGTGGGCCTCATTGGCGTTGAAGCATGGGCCACGGTGACATCACGGCCTTTCGTCACGCGAATCTACCACGCAAACAGGACGCGACAAATCTCACACCACTGCACACAGCCCGGCTGGCTGATTAAACACTACCACATCATTGGGTCAAAGTGGATTACTTCATTGACGGATGAACTTCCACCTGCAACCGGGCGAATGAGATGCAGGCCAACGCGCCTGCCTCCGTTCGAATGCGGGGAAAGCTCCAGCAGCGAGAGCGTTAAAGCCGTCTGCTCGTGACGGTTCGCGCAACCTCAGCTCACACCCCTTTGTTTGACAGACACTGCTCATATCATGGCGTCTGGCTGGTTCAGCTCATCGTCGAGCGACCCAACGCGTCCTCCGGACGTTCGCGTTCAAGTTGCTGAACAGAAACCTCACGACTTCTACCTGCAGCCCGGCTCGGGCAGCAGCCCAAGACCCGCCACCAACCGCTCAGCGGCCTCAGTGCCTGCGGCTTATGTGGATACGACTCATTCCAAGGTCCATGTCCACAATGCTTCACTTTTCGATGTAGGCATCCTGAAAGACACGCTTGTCCCATCACTCACCCTGCATTCTGGCTTGGCCATCATTGCGTACGGAGCTGCGCGATACACAAACCGCGTCGAAGCCAAGGACTGGCTTTGGCCCAGTGGTCAGGTCGTGAACGCCTGGTGGTCTGCCGTTGGACGCCGTCTTGCTCAAGGCTACACCGTCTCGCAAGCGTTCAGTCGTCTATCATGGCACGAGCGTGTCATCCTTACGGGCGTTACATTATGGGGAGGACGTCTCTTTTACCGCATCGTTAATCGTTCCATCCAACGAGGCGAGGATGATCCACGATATGCCGAAGTCAAGAAGGAGGAGGGCTTCTGGAACAGCGCGTTGTTCAAAGTCTTCATACCCGAGGCCTTCTTCCAGATGCTCATCAGTCTGCCGTTTACCGCACCATTCCGACACGAGGGTGCTGTCATGACAGGCTACCACCCCTTTGTTCAGATGTTTGCTGTCGGCTTGTTCTCTTCAGGATTGGCGATGGAGACACTTGCAGACTACCAGCTAGACCAGTTCAAGGCCGAAGGCAACAAGGGCATCATGCGCGAAGGAGTATGGAGCATTGTCCGCAATCCCAAGTATGTATCCCTGCTCCACATTCTATGTCACTCGCTAACGTCGTGTAGCTACCTTGGCGACGCCCTCGTACACATCTCCTTCATCGTTATGCTTTACGGCTCAGACATGCTCGCCCCTATCGAACTCCTAGGCCCCGCCGCGAATTACGCCTTCCTCCGCTTCTTTGGCGGCGACGCCGAGAAAGAGAAACACCAAGAACGCCGATACTCCGCATCTCACCCCGAGAAGTTCCGCGAATTGGAGAAGTTCAGAGCGGATAAGAATGCTTTCTGGCCGAGCGTCGATGAGCTAAGCAACAAATGGTTGTGGACTGTTTTGGGTGTTGGAGGCTTGGGTATCGCAGTCGAGCAAGCGCTTCGGGCGCTGCATTAGGTCTTGCCGTCTAAGATCAATGAGGTTTGCCCACGAGGCTGTCTACGCGGTAGGCGCTTAGCGATCTCGATTGTGTTTGTACGATATGATAAGCTTAGATAGTCAATTTCTTTACTGATATTTCAACTTGGCAGTCCCTACGCACGTTAGCATCAGTTGTCTATCACAAACATTGTAATGTTTTCCAACATATCTGTCGTTTTGTGACAGATGCGTCAACAAGCCCAGGGTTTGCCCATCACAACGAGTGTCCGGTTCACCAAACGCCACGAGTACATTGACAAACCTGACCGTAGTCTTGGTTGTACAACTGCCATTCTGAGGCTTCTTGTTATAACACTAGTGTCAATGTCCTACCGTCACCGTTTGAGCTTTGCTACACATCGACCGTAAGCGATGAACGACAGAGATCTCATAGGCGTCATCTTCGTAGCCGTGTTCGTCCCCCTGATCATAGCTATCGCCGCTCTATGTCTTTGTTGCCACTGCCATCTTCAACGTGGTGGAAAGCGTCCAAGGCGAACGCAGTCATATACAGTGGATACGGACTGGACTGATTACACATCCCCGCCATTCGAGCCAGCATATCGCAATCCGCGTTTCAAGCAACCGTCCAAGACCCGGTCCAAGAGATATGCGTCATACAGATATGACTTCGGTCTTCCTCGATACGCTCCAAGAGTACACCTTACCACCACAAGATACCTACCTGCTAGGAGGCACACAAGAGAACAGCATATGCTGAGTGAGATGTATGATGGGTTGGATATTACACCCGAGATGGCCAGACCGCGGAAGTGGGGGTGGGTGGATGAAGGCTCACTGGACCTACCTGAATCAGCGTTTGACGGCTTGGATCTTACGCATGAGCACATCGGGGGACCACGGGAAAGGGAGATGATGGCCCAAGCGAGGAGGCCGATAAGACCGAGGAGACTGCACAGGTCTTTTACTTTCTAGACGGGATGGTACAGGAGTTGCGTTCACGGCTTGCGACGCACTAGATCGAACAGATGGAGTACCCAAGGCTGACAGAGAGTGTGTTTTCGGAGGCAATGGTAGTGATATACTGCCTATCGAGGCCCGTTCGAACTCTCGATATGTTGTCAGTAAACGCTCGTTACAATCAGTGGAGGCATAACGTGTCTAACATGCCCATGTTGAGGGTGCACAAATACTATCTCACTTTCTTTGCTTTAGGCTCTTTACC